CATATGAAATTCGAATAGTAAATCGCAAAAAGGCAGTGGGCGTGGCCACGCTGAATCAGCCTGCGTGCCGAGCTGAAGCTTTGAAGATCGTCGGTGCCGAGTCGAGCCGCAGCTCGAACTTGAATCGCGACTGAGGCCCGAGTCAAACAGTGCTCGAAGAGTATCAAAGGCGTCAACACGTGCCCTGGCCAATGGAGAGGCACAAATCAAGTCACAGGCGGGAAGCAACTGCAGCTGCAGCTGCAACAGCAGCAACAGCAGCTAGCAAAGTGTCAAGATCCAAGCATGATGTTGGCAAACGGAAGGGCGAACATATGGAGACGCAGACGTTTCACAAGAAGGTTAAGAAAATAGGCGTGGCAGCAGCGCAGGCCCAAAATGAGCAACAGCTGCTGCAACAGCAACAGCAACAGCAACGACAACAACAACAACTGCCTAGCATGCCTGTGCTAGATGAAACAGAAGATGAGGAGCCAAGCGAGCATAGGCATCGACACAAGCACAAACACAAGCACAAATCACACAAGTCAAAGAAATCGAAAAAGTCCAAACAGCATTCGGGATCAGAGCAGGAGGCCGAGTGCAAGCGAGAGCGCGAGCACAAGCGAGAGCGAAAGAGACAGCAAGGGCGAGCAGACGATGGACCGACCGAGGCGAATGCGCTGCGTCCGGGACACTGGTTCAATCAGAAGAAACGCATCTTGGAGCAGTGGAGACGCGAGCACAGTGCCAGAAAGAGCGATAACGATAACGATAATAATCGAAACATCGATGTCGATAACGACGGCTAGTGCACATCATCACAAGTGAGTATGTAACTGGCAGAGGCGAAATTTTTTTGGCATATATCGATAACGATAGCGTTTATCGATAATTATCGAGCTCAAGCACATGAGTGACATTCAAATGCTCATTCGATGAATTTATTTATAAAAGGCATATCCACAGAGATTCTTAGTGTTAGCTCAGCCTTTAGCGATGGGCATGGCAATCAAATCGATGTTAATCTATCGAATCTACGATAAGTGCATGAGAATACTGATGAATGATAAAGTCTATACAAAAGTAAACATATGTGCATATGCATAATGGTTATCTTTATGTGATTCTGCCAGTGTTATCGTTTCTTAAAATTGTTATCGATAACAAACATGGCGTATTTTTAAAGCGACTGTAGTAAAAATGAATTTTAAAAGAGAAATGTTAGCAAATGATGTAAGAGTCGTGACTGCAGCGGGAAATGTCTGTACATGTGTGCGTGCGAGGGTGTCTGAGGGCGTGAGTGTGTGTGTGGGTAGTGAAAACCCTAGAACATTATTTCTTTTGTAAATCCCATGAACAATGCCCACGGCACGTGCGTGGCAACCAAATGAACCAAATGAACAACGGGCAAACGCCGTTCGCTAAGCCAAAAGCAATTATCTGACATAGCCAGGCCATAAAAATGGTCAATTACAATATCACGATATTACCAATACACCAATACACCGGCACACTCGCACACACACATACACACACTAGCAAATACCCTGCACATAAATTATGCATTTCGCCTTAGCCAATCGCATTTGATCAAAATATAAAAAAGGTTGCTCCAAGTTTAAGATTTCGGCTCGCAGATTACAGAAACCAAAATCGAATACCGATTACAGTGGAAACTTTTCAAGCTTGAGCTAGCGCAATACCCTGTAATTGGACTCATATGGAATTCAGAAATATAACTCCACAGCTCGTTTGTTGAAGTGTTGGCCCACTTCCTCCAGCAGTTTCATAAATAAACTTAAATTTCATATTTAAGTTCGAGTAAGTCCACTGTTAGATACCCTGTACATTATTATGCAGCTATTGTATTAAATCATATGTTTATTTATTGAGCATGGGAGTGCAAGCTGCAGAATGAGCTGCAGCAAATATATAACTCTGCGCTGTTTTGACTGTGGGATACCCTGTAATGAATAAAGTCTGATAAAATAGAACATAGCTCGACCTTGACCAAAAGATACCCTGCAATCAAATCTTGAAATATCTTAAGCATGTTTTAATATCACATCTTAGTGTAAGAGAGAGAGAGAGAGAGAGAGAGAGAGAGAGAGAGAGAAATGGAGTGGGCTAGAGAGAGAGGGGGAGAGTATGGTTTTCAAGCATGTATTGCTTTGCTCACACGGAACTTATAGCGGATATGGAGCAACGGCATGTTAGCTGCGTAATCGAAGCTGATGAAAAGGCGCAACAACTAAATTTTCCACGAAAAACTGTTCGAATTTCCATTTCAATTTCAATTCCAATTCGAAATGAAATCAGCTACACAAATCAGAGCACTCAATTGATGATACACACACACTCACACATGTATGCATACCCTAACTAAATGCAACTAAGCCATGTACATATTTGAGTGTGTGTGTGTGTGTGTGAATGCAAAAAAGCATTTAAATGGCCCGAAAAACAGAAAAGAGCATGAGTAAAGCCATTGGTTCTATGTGCGCGGGAGTGAGACAGAGATAGGCAGAGCAAAAGAGACAGATAGAGAGAGAGAGAGAGAGAGAGACAGCGAGAGGGACATAGGTTATTGGTTAATAACGTGAGCGAGAGTCGAGAGACAATTTAATGCCGGAAATAGTTTTTCCAAGCAGAAGCACAGCCAGAGGCGGGGGCGTGGTCGCTAGGGGGCCGCTAGGGGGGGTTAGGGGCTGTGGTTTACAAGAGTTGGCTGGGCAACATGTAGATGTGTGTGTGTGTGTGTGTTGGTTGGTGTGTGTGATTGCAAAATAAATTTACTAATAAAATGCCAACAATTTTTTTTAGCTAGAGCCCTAGTTAAAAAAGGTCCTACAGGGCACTGCTTGTGTATGTCTATGTGTGTCCGTGTGTGTGTGTGTAAAGGGGCAAGCATTTTGTAATAAACATATTTGAAATGCATGCCACGCAGTCGACCAGCAGCAACAACAATCAAAGTCCTTCGAAATGTGTGTTTGTTGTTGTTGTTGTTGTTGCTGTTGGAAAATGAGCGCAATTTGGACTTTGACCTTGGACAACTTTTTGCCAGCCAGCAGTGGCCGGCAGCCGGGTGGAGGGGGAAAGGTGAGCTGCGGAGGGGTCAACGAACATTTGAATGTCTGGCAAGAGCTCTGGAGCAGTTCGAATGGCAACAGGCAAACAGATTCGAGACTCAAGGTCATGTGAGCGATTGCATCGAAAGCGGAACCGGAACCGGAACCGGAAGCGGAAACGGACCTGTGCATGGGCAACAGTCAAAATGAAAGCTAAATCAAAATCGAAAGCGAATTGGAAGAGAAATAAAATGATGAGAAAACAGCACCTTGGAACATCCGAATGGAATGGAACACGAAATAGGAACTAGAACTGAGTCAGGTGCAGGAATTGTTGCATAACTGGAACTAGTGCTGAGAATCGAGCTAAAAAAAGAAGCTAAAATTGAAATTGCACTGAGAATGGGAACTGGAACGGAAGCTAGGCTTGTCTGGAATAGTGCTGGAACTAGAGCTGGAACGGAGATTTAGTTCATAGGCAAATGAGGTAGCCAACGTGGAACTAATTAAGACTTAAAGTTTAACTAGTATTGGAACAGAACCTGAATCAGCTGGAGCTCATGTTGTACGGCACGTTGTGGGAAACTCTATTGGTGGCATAAATAATGTATTACTCTCCCATCAGTCATGATTGATTGTTGACTGAATTTGCAAAGTAAATAAACATTTCTAGCGGGATTCATCAAATCATTCGCATAGCAGGCAAATGTCTAATAATAGCCAAATAAATTGCTTTCAAATTGCTTCTCACTTGCAGCCCGATTGATGTCAATCATTAAATATTTTGCTAATATTTATGCAGCTTTTCTCGATTTAATTAAGCCTCAACTGCTTTTGCCTTTTGCAGCCATCAACAAATGACCAACAACAATCAACATCAAAGGAATTTCAGAATTTCAGAATTTCACCTCCCCGGGGGCTAAGGAGAAGTAACAACATCATGGATTGATGGATGTAGCGATTGATGATGATGGAGGGGACGCAGCAAGAGAAGGCCCAGACGGAGCAGGAGAGAAAGGAGCAGCATCTATAAAAGATACTCGAGGGCATGAATTAATTTAAATCTAAATGCGAACAGCAACACCAGCAATAAAATAAATTGGGAAAATCTTTTTATGCCCGCAGCGCCAACAGCGTTCAACAAAAGGAAGTGGGCGTGGCACGAATGGCATAGCCAAAGGGGGGATGGGGGGAGGTGGGGTGACAGTGGCATGGGGAAAGACGGTCAATTGGCTGATATTTCCAATTTGAATGAAAAGTGATTGAAGAACTTTGAGGAGCGCACATAACAAATGGCACAGCAAAAAGGGCGAGAAAATTGAATGAAAATTGATGAGAAATCAATTAAATGATAGACCTTGACATACCCTGCAAATGCATGCATGCACTAGAAAAAATATACTAGTTATAGAGATGTATGCTAAAATATATTTATAGTATTAATATAACAGTATCAGACACTGTAGAACAGTATATCCATACACTAGCATAGCAGTTTATATATGCAAGTATAACTGTATAACAGTGTAACATTATAAAAGTATAACAGTATAACAGTATAACAGTAGAACAGTATAACAGTATAAGAGTATAACAGTATAACAGTAGCACAGTAGAACAGCTTCGAATTATTGCACATCATATTGAGCAAATCAAACAGCTGGTCCAAGCGAATAAGCTCGACCTTGCTCGAAAAAAACTGTGAAGAAGATAATTTTCAAGTTTTTCCCTTTTCCTTTTGGTCGGCAAAAGTTTTTTGCGCGCAATTAAAAAAGTAAAGTGTTGCTAAAATATAAATCGCCGCACACACATACAAACACACTATATAGTACCTATGTAAAACAGTATACAGATAACTGTTATATGAAATTGGTGCATAGAAAAAGTTTGCTCAGGAAGGGGCAACTGACAGCAGGAGGAGGCGTTCGAGAAACATTGTTCAAAACTTACCAGCTGTTTCTGCTGGTGCAGCCAGCTCCTCGCTGACGCTGGCGTTGACGCTGACGTTGACGTTCGATGCGCACTGCTGCGAATCAAAATTGAAAAGAACTTGATGAGCGGCCCGAAGTGCGGCGCGGCGAGGTGCGAGTTGGTGCYTTAAAATGTCCGCAGGGTCGAAGTGTATTTTGATTTGTTGTTGTTGTGGTTGTTGTTGCTGTTGCTGGCGAGCAGAGGGCGTTCTTATTGTTGCTGTTGTTCGTTCACTTTACACTGTGACCGTTAGCTGGCGACAACAGCATTGGCGCTGGCGCTGATGCAGACGCTGACGCAGACGCTGAAGCTGGCGTTCACGTTGACGTTGATGTGGACGTTGACGATGCTGCTGATGGCGATCTGAAAAGCGTGCGAAATTAATATAAATATATACGCACAAATATATATGTATATATGTATGTATATATGCATAAATTGAATGTATGTATGTATAATAAAATTGACGTGAAATTGCAGTGGGAGCGCGGCGAGTCGGTCACTTGTTGAAAATTGTGTTTATTGTGCATGTTTTAATTAGCAATTCGCTTATGGCAGCTGATATTGGCAGCATGATTGCAATTTTTATTCATACAACAATTTTTTCGTTATTAAATTCTACTGAATATAGTTAAAATTTGCATAAATTTGCTTGAAAAATTCATTTAAACGTTTTTCATTATTTTGTTGTTTTTCTTTTCTTTGCTGTTTCTCGTTTTCGTTTTACATAAATGGTAAACAGAGGCGAAAATTGAATTGGCAGCAAAGCGTAACAAGATTTGCGGCGAAAAAAGAAATAAACACACACTTCACATACTGTGCGAAGAGCAGGCTGCTTGCCAGTAGAGCTGTATTAACACACACACACACACACACATAGCATATATGCTTGCAATTTAACATAATTCAATATAAAGTTTTTAAATTCTTTTTTCTTTTATTTAATTATTAATTACACATTGAGCAGCGTATTGCACGGTCGGTTCACTTGGTTAATTTTGCAAAACTTGTTGCGGCGCCGCTTCAAACTTGTTGACGATGATGAAGATGACGATGATGATGGCTCGGCGATTGCGCTCGAGTGCGACTGTGTTAGTGCGCGCGCTCATTAGGCGCCTAATCGACTCTGAATGTGGGCGAGCGGGCGCATAGCACAGCAGCTGACTGCATCGGCAAAAGAATCAACAACACCAACACCAACAACACCATCAACAATTGCTGCCAAGAGCCGAGGCGAGCGCGTCAACGATTCGTGTTGATTGGCAGACGCAGCCAATTAAACGTGCAAAGCAAATGCAACTATCGAATTCGCTGCGTTCTCTCATCTACTAAATGTGCGTGTGTGCATGTGTGCGTGTGTGCGTGTGCGTTTTACAGTTGGACCAAAGGCGAGAGCGAGCGCGCAATGTTGATTACCCAGTGCACAGGCATGAGTGTGAACCGCAACAACAATGACCACTCTATGCCGTATGCATGTGTGCGTGTGCGTGTGTTAGTGCAATACAATGGCAAACATATTGCAGCTGCCTATGCGCTGCATAGATATGGGCAGAAAGGCGCGCATAGGGGCTATGCTATGTCCACCCCCTTTTTAGCAACAAGAGCAGCAGCTGCTACAGCTCTGCCTCTCTGCTGCCGCTCTCCCACTCTCCCACTGTGACTCTCTCATTCCTCCTTCCTTTTTGCTCATATGCAATGTCAGCAGCTGCCTGGCAGGCATACAGCAATGCTCCTCAGTCTAACCCACCCCAAGTGCGAATAACAACGGCGAGCTAAAGTGATTTGAAGGGGTATGCCAGACTAAGAGATGCTGAGTAAAATAGTGAGTGTATGTGTGTGTAGCTGTTATACATATGCTTCTTGTGTATGTATATGTGTGCATGTATAGACTTGTGTTAGTTTTATTCTGTTGCACATTTGCTGGCTAGTGTATATACCCTTTGTAATGCCTGTGTGCTGCTGGGTATAACAACACGACTCTTGCGCTGTGGTCAATGTTCGCTCTGTGGCCATAAAACTAAACTCCCCACTGCAACGGCCCGCGTCGCTCCCTCCCTCTCTACCGCTGCTGCTGCTCCTCTTCTTCTTTTTTTTTTTTAGCTATTTGCGGTTCTTTCCGTTGCTTTCGTCGTAAATGAGCGACAGACCAGCAGCAACAGCAACAACAACAGTTAAATGCGAACCATTAGAAATCGAAACGGATGGTAGTTAAGATTTGTTATTCAAGATTTGCACTTAACGATTGTAAGGAATATCGCATGTACGAACGTTCGAAATTAACGTCGAGTCCTGTCGCTGCTGCTGTTGTTTCCTCTCTTACGTTACGTAATGCTGCTATTAAATATGTCTACATAAATATTGTATATGCATATGTATGTAGTTATATTTCTTTTGCCTTTTTAATAAACTTTAAGATTTAGCTGCAAATTTGTATTTCTTCTTGTATTTCTTCAAGCCTTTTAAGCGCTTCACTCACATATCTACGTAATACTACCAATAACTGCATTTTCCTTCTGAGGTTAACAATTGCAAGCTTTTTGCTACCGTTTCTAACGCCACCTGACTTTTGTCCAGGTGCCCAGGTGCAACAAAGTCGTTGTTGCTGTGCTTGATGCAAATTTGTGCGCCCTAAAACCAGGCGTTTGTCAACGAAGTCGAGTTACAACCCCGCCAACCCCAGAAACCCAAGCACTACCCTTAGACCTAACCAAACCCCTTGCTTAAGCCAGCAACAGACCGCATTGGGGTAGACTAGATTCAAGCTAAAACCCAACGCTGGCGACATTGTTGACTCGCTTACTTTTTAGTCAAAAGCCCCCAGCCCCCTATCATCCCTAGCACTTCACTCACCCACCTGCCCCACCCCCCGCTGTCACTGTCTCTGTCTCTGTTGTTTCTTGGCAACGCTTTCGTAATTGCTTATGCAAATTTTCACAGTTGCAAGTAGCAGCTACCCTCTGGTAGCACCTACCCCTACCACCTGCCCCTAGCTGTAATGCAGCCCTCACCTTTATACAACCCCACTTGAAGCTTCAACTGCAGGCTTTTTTTGTTATATCACTCCGACTGCATCTTTCTGGCAGTGAGTTCTGTTGGCAAGCTAAAGTTTACACACACCTACCCCCCCGCCAACCGCCAACCCCGAACACCCAAGCCCCTTCGTTAGCTGCGCCTCTGACTCGACGGTCCATCGCGCATTTTCATTGTCAACGTCGACGTCGAGGAGCTGCAGGCATTTGCATAGGTAACAAAATGCATTTCCCAGCAGCTACCCAAGCCCCTACCCTTACCCGGCTGCCTGCAGCCAACCCTAATGGTGAAAACCCTTAGCAGTAATTTTTAATGTGCAAAACAAATACAAATTAAAGCAATGCAAATAAAAGAGTTGCTCTAGCAAAATTAAAATAAATTCCAATGTGGAGAGCTTGGGGTAGATAGCTACATATGTGTGTGTGTGTGTGTGTGTGTATGTTTTACCTGGATAGAAACAGTTGATTAGCCACAAAAAGTTAAAAGTTTCCTAAATGAATAACAAATTAAGCGAATGACAACAAATGACGAAGCATGACTAACAAATGAAAACTTTTTTACTCTAGGAAACTGAATTGGGAATGCTGTAGAGCTGTCTCTAAATGAAGGCAATTATTCAAGATCCGGAATGTTAGGGAATAAGAGAACGGCTTTAAGCTGGGAAAGGAGATGCGAATAGTTGCTGAATGATTTAGAGGACTTGTCAATTGGTTGGTCTTTCAGTCTCAGTCATTCTCTCATTCCACATCTATAATTATGCACTCCCTCTTTATGTAATGCTATCTCTATTACCTATTCAAGCGAATCCCATTTCATATAGACATTACTTTAATAGGCAGTTGGCTGGCTTTACCTAACCGAGCCATAAATATAATTGAGTGGGTTTCAAGCCGAGTACGGGAGGAACTATCAACAGAACAATTTCGGGGCTAAGCCCGGCCAATTGCCAGTTCATAATTTGTGCAAAACCTCGGGTCAAATGCAGGCCGCAGTAGAGGCAGCAAAGGGGGACAGAGCGAGAGAGCGAGAGTGAGAGTGAGGGAGAGGGGTCCCTGGAGGTAAAGGGGTGTACGGGTTGGATTTGCAGTGCGGCAGCTGTTGGCAACACCTAAGTGAATGGGGATTGACATGATTGGAATAGCCAGGCGAAGGGCATCGAGAGGCGAGGCAGCGGAGGAGGGTGTTGCATATGAAATTAGCCAAAGATTGTCGACACACATGCGTTTAGGGGTTGCTCCCCGGCAGGAGGAGAGGGGTCTGTCGGGCTGTGGCTAGTGTGCTGGGGGCTGCTTGTGGGCCAATTGCAATCAGTTAAACAATGTTGCATATTAACAGCCGACCAGACACGCCACCAACAGGCGCAACTCTATCAAAGGTACGCCACGGACGGGGGTGTGCACGGAACGGGGAACAGGGAGCAGGGAACAGGGAACAGGGATCAGGGATCGGGGGTCAGGGGCCCCTCGGAGAGTTAGGGTATCGTTAGACCGCCCGCAATGTCTGTGCATAAATAAGGCATAAATAACGGACAGGCCTTTTGGGGGGTAGGGGAAGGGGTGCTGCAGGGTATACGGCTTGTCTGGCTAATTAAAACACTTGATGGGCTCTTTCAGCGTAAAGCGCCATCTGGCGTGCAGAAGCGAAGCGACTAAAAAAAAATTGAAATTGCTGTAAATTGCAAATTTCATATGGTAGAGAGAACGAGGGAGAGCGATACAGTGGAAGGGGGGGGGGGGGGGGGGGGGGG